TATTAATAAGTCATACAAAACACTCATCATTTCAGTTTATTAATTCATTCATTATTAATTTTTCTAATTGTTTAAATAATGATGATAATCATTATCAATATATAATCAATTATAAAGTATTATCAAAAATACATAAATGATACATAGTACAATACATCATTTATAAAAATTAAAACTATAAGAAAAACAGTTCTTGTTAATCATCAAGAATTATTCTTCAAGTTGTATGTTTCTTATAACACCAGTTGAAAAAGCCGATGCAGGAATCAGGGCATACTAAATAGTTAGCATGCATAGCAATAATAAATAATTAATTACAAATGGTTTGTCTAAAGTACAGAGATGTTCACTAGAATGGCAATTTCTAGGTTTGCCACTATGCTTTGCGGGCGCTCGATACACTGACAGAGACTTCCCATTTTTTCAGTTTTATATATAGTTGAAAAAAGGTAAAATAAAAAGACTCGCGCATGGACTCCTAGGTTTGTCGCTATGCTTTGCTGGCACTCGATATGCTGACAGAAACCATTTTTCCAGTTTTATATAGTAGATTTTATCAAGTATCAACTATGCAGAAAACCAAAATGTAATATTTGATAATATAAAGTTTTATCAATATCATTGTGTATTTACTTTGATAATATAATTATTGTATGTAAAATAAGACTTTACATTATAGTCTTGTTTTATATAGGGATTGTGTATCAGCAAGTACTGTATAAAATAAAATTCTGTGTACATTTGTCCATGCAAGTAGTTCCAGATGATTGCAAATCACTTGTGATCATTTACAATTAACAGGAAAATGTCAAAATGTTTCTAAAATGTTTTACTTATATTTTTACAAATATAAATTTTACACCTTAAAATATGCTCCAGCTACAATTTTAATTAATTAATGAAGAAAAAACGTTTTTGACCTAAGTTTACATTTTTACTATATATACTGAATTTCATAAAATTAGACCGTGTGCACATTAATAGTCAGAGTTACCCATGCATCAAATAGTTAATTTTATCATTTGCCATCCACAAAAACATGAATTTGCATACAATAATCCCATGTAAAATAAAATTCCACTGTATATTTGTTTTCAGTTCATTAGAATTATATTTTGGTCTTATTTTTTCCAAACAAAAATAATTTTCAATAATACTTTTACTAATTATAATATACAGCAGGACTAGAGTGAATTATTTTCAAAGTCAAAAATTTTGTGGTTATGCATTTTCACCTCAAATTAAAATATTTTAAAATATTAAAGTTAAAATAAGAATAACTACAGTAGAATTCAAATTATCCAAGTCTCAATTGTGGTCAACCCATTATATCCCAGTAATGACAAATTTTAATTAAAACTAACATTTTTGACCAGAATCATGGTTTTCCTCAGCCTTTCGTCCAGTACAATTCAAATATGGAATGTGTCGAAGAATATGTTTAAATTAATTTAAAAATTCTGAACATTTAAAAGCTAGAAGATAATTTTTAGTTGTATGTGCTACAATAGTGATAAAAACATCCTTCACCACAATAAATATATAATAAGATGTATGTACTTAATGGTGTAAGAATAGGTATCTAATGTTGCTCTTATTTTTTCTCATAGCACCATCTCCATGCATAAGAAACATTAGCGGCATCCTCTGTGTTAATACAGTTGCTGGCCAGTCCAGCTTCGTAAATTTTTTAAAGCTTCTAGGTTGTGAAGGTACTCAACCTGACATGACATTTTCACTAATTTGGCCTTATGGAAGTTGGCTTTGTACTTTGGGGTCCGTGGCATAGGCAGCTAGGGTGGTATGTCTCTGGTTGGCAATATCATACCTGTACTTAGTGAGCGCTTCGTGGATCCAATGTATACTAGATCATGTTGGACTCTGTGGTCTCTGAGGGGAACCATATATACACCAGGTGCCCAACTTTCCTCGGTCCTGTTTTTGCCATTGCATATATACTGTGCTAGATCTCTTATAAGCAATCTTTGTGCATATAAGAAGTTAATTGCTTTTTTAAAGCATATGAACATGATTGACCAATAATTTTAATTTAGTTGTTTATGTGGAACTTTTGCTTGTCTTTAAAGTTTTGTCCACCACTGTATAACATCTTAAAACAAATATTGAAAATGGATAGATAGACCACATTGCATCCACCACCTGTGAATACCAAAATGAAAACAAATCAATCTGATCTGACAATTGGTTTAAAATATTTCCTGATGTAACAAAATGTTATGAAAAAAATTGCATAAAATACTTTAAATATCTCTGACAAAAAGTTATGATTTTCACTTATTTCCATATTGCCTCTTGATTGATGTTTACTTTTGTGGTTGGCTTTACACAGATAATCAGCTGTTTAATTAACTTCCTCTTTACCCAAGACTATCCAGCAATAGAAATCAATGTCTTAATATCAATATGTAAAATTGTCCTGCATTTCCTAGATTCAGAAACATAGACATATAAGTTCTTACTCATACTTACTGCTCTACTGCATAGTCTTTTTCTTTTGTTCCATTCCATTCTGTGTTCAGCTGTTAAAAAGTTGGCAGCCTTATGCAAATGCAGACTTTTGTAATAAATGGTCAAAATAAATATTAAAGGTACAATTTTAACAACTGGTTCAAAATGGCTACAGACATCTGTTCACATTAGCTCAGATAATTAGGTTATACTGTAATTTTACTCTAGCAATCTTTATATTATTGTAATTATTAAGTTCATTCCAAAGTCATACTAATAAATAATAACTAATAATTATTTATTTAAAAAACATCATTAAATTGTAACTGTTTACTAATAAGAACATAATATTAATAATATCAATTAGCTAGTATATTACCATTTAAAAATGTTAATTATATTAATCAAATAATACTAGAATTTACAAAAAAATTCTATGAAACAGATCCTAAATTATCAAATTAGAAAATGCAATAAAATATAAAATATCCTGTTTATTAAAATGAAATTAATTTCATTCTAATATTTTAAAACTTATTCTAATGCTTAATTATTCTTAAAATTAAATTGATAAGCTGTAAAGTTAGTTTAAGAATTTTAAGAAATAAGAGAATTCAAGAGAGTATCTTTAAAATTGACATAAGTGTATATGATAGAAGATATAAAAATATTTTTTTTATTTTATAAATTATTTTAAACAAAATAATATATATTTTTAAATTAAAACTTAAATAAATTGTAAACATACAGTATAAGATCTATATTAGATTTGAAATAAATATATTTATTCATCTAATAATTAATGTTTATAAACTAATGATTGTTTATTATTGAAAATGCTTAAAAGAATTGTTAATTTTTATATATATTTTTAAATAAATTTCTGAATAAATTTAGGCTCAAATTTAATTTAAATTATTCTTACATGTTTTTTTTAATGCAATCCACTATATATAAACAGAAATATTTAAAACTGTGTAATAAAGTTATAGCATGTAATGGGAAATAAACTAATAAAAGTTATTTTGCTGTTATAAATTTTTCAGAATCAATGAATTATTGTTCTCATTGATTTATTATTTTTATTGATTTTTTATTGCTATGAATCATTTATGGCCATTTTAGATATAAATGGAGGTGTGGTCTTACAATTCTTTACTATAAAAGGACATATAGTAGTAATGTTTTGATTCCAATCAATCTAGCAAGGAAAGGGAGTGGTCTCACATGTTTTCAAATCAATCTGATATTATAGTATTATTTTCCTCTACACTTATGGTTTATGAATACCATTTTTTCAACATTGCCGAAGTGAATAAAATAGAAATAGCTATCAAATATAAAACATATAAAACACAAAATAGGTTACAACGATAAAAATATTAAATAAATTTCAAAAAATCTTTATACATTAATGAATTTATAAAGTTAATTCGTAAGTCATTCTAATGTTATTCTTTTAAAATTTTATCATTGTTAACATACTCAATTAAGTAAATAAACTATATTTTACGGCAAATTTATCGATTAGTCGCTAACGTATTTTACTAAATAGAAATTTTAATTTGTATTAAAATGTATTATCAATTTAATAACAGAAATAATAGTACTACATATAACGAATTTTAAACATAAATTAAAAATCAAGTATATTAAGATCAATTTAATTCATAAACAATTATGTTAAAAGCTAAATCATCAAAATAATGAGTTTTAAAATGTAATTTAGAAATTCAATTGCCAATAGAGATTTAAATATTTATTATTGTTGAAGTTATAATGTGAGAAACAAATCTCATTTTAAATATATATATAAACTGTTTTAATTGTAAATTGAATTAATTAAATTGATATTGTTTAGGGAGATTAATTTGCTTGTCAGATTACAAACTTGAAATGGATTAAAAGCTTCTTTATATGGAAATGTAATCTGAAATAGATTTTTTATTAATCATTTACACAATATTTATTTGACAGAAACGGTTTTCTGTTAACACTAATAAAACAAAAGCTCACTTATCGTAAATACAGTGAAGAAAAAGGAATAATTTGAATATGAAATGTATTCTTCATCAAAATATTTTACATAATTAAATTCATAAGTATTCATCTCACCGTTTTTTAGCATGTTTTGTCAACTTTTGCCATATACCACAAAACTCCGATGAGTACTACTCGAAACGATAGTAACGCGACACTAGAATATACAATACAATTTAAATTTCTATTGGTCGAATTCAACAATTTATTATATATAAACCAATGGAGGGTATCGAAAGAAAAATAGGTGTCCTTACATATTAGTGTCATTTAGAGTTACTGCGACGCAAGCGCAGTTTTATAAATATTTGTATGAAATCTAAGAATTCGAAATTTGAATTGTTTGTTTACTAAAATTATGTTATTTGGCTGATTTTATTTCCTGATTATAATTTCTTCTTTTACAGTGTAGAAATGAGCATTATATATGCTTTATTATTGAAAATTAATATAAAGAATTGAAGAAAATCGAAATGGTATTTACTGAGTTTATATTCATTGTTTATCAAATTTGAATTAGAACATTATCTATCTCAACACTATATTTTCTTTGTATTGTATACGTAAGATCCTACACAATATGAAACTAATCGATTAGTTTAGTGGTTGTTAGGTATACAGACCATGTTGTTTACATTACGACAAGATTAGTTTATTTTTATGTTTCACAATCTCATTTAAGTTTAGTAAAGGCCTTTCTGCTTTTTCTCTTAAATTACAGGTAAGTTTTTCACTAAATCTACATAAATGTTAAAAAAAAAAAAAAAATGGAAGGCCATAAATTGACTGGCGTGTTTCTATTGATCAATTTAATTTGTGATGCTTTTACTTCCTTTTAGGATATCTTCACGACAGTCTCAAATATTTTATGAATATGGTAATATAACAAATTATTCCTCTAAATACACTTTTGTGTCTCGTACATGATATGAAGAATAACATCGTCGTGCTCGGAATATCATTTACTTAGTGTTAAATCTATTTAGCTGTTTAGAAATATTAAACTATTTGATGCATGTTTTTATTTAATTTTATTTGGTTTATTTCTATCATAAAAGGCATGGCAAAATATCTTTGCAAAGAATAAATTAATTAATATTGTTTGAGATATAGGACAGATTTATAAAATTATGTGTAAAATGTAAATGTTTTATTATATTAGAAGAAATCTTTATTTTGAAAACAAATACAGAAAATTATTTGCTAATAACAGTAAGAAAAATTTTATATATTAATTATATATTATTTGTTTTAATGACATGAAGAATAGAATGAAACAGCATGTAATAAAAATGTAATGTATTTATTATATGTTGTTTTGTTTTGTTTATCTTCGTTATATATATATATACATACATACAGTAAATATGACATTATATACAGGGTGTCTCAGTTAAATGTTTCAGAACTTCTAAGAGGGGTAGGGTGCATCCCAACAACTCTGAATCATATAGCAATGCAGGGTCGGAAATGCTTTTCTGAAGTGGTAGATGGCGTTGCATGAAAGTTTAGAGCGTTCTTGCAGGGAATCATCATTTCGCACAAGGACGCATAGTTAGCCGATATGCATTTAGTGTAAGATTGTAGTGGGCCAGCAGCATTGCACTTGTATTCGGAACGATATCTGAATTCCCAGCCATACTTTCTTTGCAAGCTTGCACTAGAGGTTAGCTGTTTCTGTGTACATCACCGCTTCAGGAAAGCATTTCCGACCCTGCATTGCTATATGATTCCGAGTCGTCGGAATGCACCCTACCCTCATTCTGAAATGCTTAAGTGAGACACCCTGTATATTGAAACATAACCTTACATTAACCGTTCATTATATAGGCTATCAGGTGAATATTATTGAAAAGTCTGTTTTGATATAAACAACTTCCTTTTAAATAGAATATAAAATCCAAAAAACAAGCTCTTGAAAGATTATAGGTATAAAAAGTATGTACCAGTAAAAATAAAATATTTTTCAAGACCTTTCATCTCAGTTTCTGATAACTGAGTAGGTGATCTGAAGCTGAGACAAGATCATCGTCAGATTATTGCTTATATTTAATTGAGTAGAATATGTAAACTGATGATGATCACAAAAAATGATTTGAAAATAATGATTCACTTATTGGACAAATATTGCTGGGAAGTAAGTTGATTATTCTTTATCATTGTCCCATAAAATTGTTTGTGTGTAAGACATTTGATGTTCAACAAAGAAACTATTCTGTAACAGATACTGTCTTTTGAAGTAGAATTGAATTTAGTTGGATATAAAAGGATTAGATTATCATAGATCTATTATATCTATGGTAATTTTTAATGTTATTTAAAATATTTTAAATTATGTAATATCATAAACTGGATAGTTTTAAATTCACTAGCATACTACACCATAAAACTCCAGCAGAGAAAACATTTAATTGCAAATGTTTTCAACCTTGTTTAAAGGTCAGCCTAATCTTTGTAGCCTTAAGATATCATAGTATAGTTAACATATTATCTGTTTTTCTGAAAACTGTTAAGCAGTTTGGCAGTTTGAATCTAAAGTGTACAGCCTTAAGATGGCCTTTAAACAAGGTTGAAAACATTTGCAATTAAATTTGTTCTACTGGGGTTTTATAGTGTAGTGTGCTAGTGAATATTCTCAATATTTTTGATAACAAGAAATGTGGTTTCTTGTTGTCAGAAAAATTTTGAGAAAATAATCAAAAATATCATTATAAGTAAAATACATTCTGGGAACTCTTAGAAAACATTTGTGCATTTTTTAAGTATTTTATAGTTTATAGTTTTTAAATGTAATAGTTTACTGTAACTCGTTTGCTTTTGCTTTTTTTTAACAATATGCTGTATTTTACAGTATGTAAGATGCATCCCCATTTCAATGCAGAATATTATAGAAAAACATATTTGGTGTATCTAAAGGCCATCTTGCACCTTTGCACTCAACTTCCAATTTTTTTTTTTTTACTGTATTCTGGTTTAAAAAGTAAAATTAGAATGTACACTTTTATTTATAAGGGAGAAAGAGTTTAAAAGAATCATTTACAGTTGAAATTTACCATTAAAATATTCAGCATGAATTCAGCAAAAGCAAATAATAATATGTTTAATTAAATAATAATGCTTTTATTCAAGAGTTGGACTAGATAAAGGTTACCTGTAGCTTACTGAAGGCTATTTGAGAAATTCATTAGCCTATGGGAGATCACAACATCACATATAACAGGGATGGGCAACCTTTTTCTATGTAAGGGCCGCATTTCAAAACATTTGAACTGACATGGGCTGCATACAAGAGTAAAGAGGGAAAAAATGTCGGTAAATCACAATTATTTATTCATATATAATTATAAATTAGCATAGGTATACTTAATTTAGCTTCTGGAACTGATGTAAATGTAATATATTGGAAATATTTGGTTAAATATTAGTCACTGATAGCTTTAAATTAGTTTCAATGTGTCTGTTAGCCAGTTTTTTGTTTTTATTTGTACTAAATTCATTGTAGAAAAACTAATCATATACATAAGTTTTAGAAAATAACATTTGAATTTCTGCTGCATACTTCTTTCAGCTGGGAAATTGATATATTTATTCATATTTTACGGGGGCAGCATGCGACCCGAGGGCTGTGGGTTGTCCATCCCTGACATATAAGATGCAATTATTTTAGCCTTTTTTTGGACTAAAGTTGCATATTATATGCTGTAAAATAGATCATAATTTTGTAAAAAATATATTTAGATTTGATAAGTAGATATATTTAGATTTGAAAATTTGAATACAACTACTTCAGAATATTTTTACTTATTTATAAAATTTATTATTATTTTACAGAATATAAATGCCTAATTAAATTATGGAAAAGTATAAAGTCATCAAAAAACTTGGAGAGGGTTCTTTTGGAAGAGCACTCCTAGCCAGTGGTTCTAATAATGAGTTTTGTGTCATCAAAGAAATTGGAATATCAAGAATGTCATGTAAAGAATTTGATGAAGCAAAGAAAGAAGTTGAAGTCTTATCTCAAATGCAACATCCAAATATAGTAACTTACCGAGATTCTTTTGAAGAGGATGGCACATTATACATTATTATGGATTATTGTGATGGAGGAGATCTTTATACAAGAATAAATAATCAGAAAGGTATTCCTTTTCCTGAAGACGTAATTCTTGATTGGTTTGTTCAGATATGTTTAGCAGTAAAGCATGTCCATGATCGTAAAATATTGCACCGTGATATAAAATCACAAAATATATTTTTAACAAAAAATGGTGTTGTTAAATTAGGTGATTTTGGCATAGCACGAGTGTTAAATAGTACTTCAGAACTTGCTCGCACTTGTATAGGTACTCCTTATTATCTCTCTCCTGAAATTTGTGAGAATAAGCCTTATAACAATAAAAGTGATATTTGGGCATTAGGTTGTGTATTATATGAATTATGCACATTAAAACATGCATTTGAAGCAAAAAACATGAAGAATTTAGTATTAAAAATAATTCGTGGCTCATATCCACCTGTACCACCACATTACAGTTATGAGCTTAGAAATCTGATTAATCAGTTATTTAAAAGGAATCCTAGAGATCGTCCAACAATAAATGCAATTCTAAGAAAGCCTTTGATTGTAAAGAGAATTCGAAAATTTTTGAGTGAAACTCAAATAAAAAATGAATTTAACAATACACCATATGGCCATCAGGTTCCACATTCATTGCCACAAGTAAAACAAAATGCAAATAGCCAGCGAAAAAATAAACTAACAGATCCAGCTTCTAAATATGGTAATTCTGTTGCTGTAAAAAAAACTAAAATACCACCAAGACTAAATGTTTGTAGAAATCCAGTTTTACTTTCTAGAGATGCAAAAAAGAGATATCAAGGAAAAAATTTATCACCTAATCAAATTATTGAAATCACTCAGAAAGTTCAAGAAAATTTTAAATTAGAAAGTTTTTCCAAGGAACAAATTGAAAAAATAAACAACGTGATTTATTCAACAATACAAAAAGAAAAACCTGATAAAAATGAAAGCAAAAATTTACCATCTGTAATTTCAAATAATGATCATGTTTCATTTGAAAAGAAAACTCCTGTTCCTTTAATTACCAACATTGGTAATTCATTGCATGAAACAAAAGATTTAGTTTGTCCAGCAGATAATGAATATTCATCAGGTAATGAATTAAATATTGGTAAAGAAGTTTTATCTGAAATAAATATGCATAAAACTAACTATGGTACAGAAAATGAAGATAAACAAATAGCACTTGAAAAAATGAAGAAAAAATTGTTATCTATGAGAAGTGTGTCTATTGATGATTCACTAAATTCTCCTTATAATTCTTCAGTTCATTCATCGCAAACATCAATTGAGCATATTGAAAAACTTAGAGAAAAAGTAAAAGCAAAATGGAAACAAGCTTATCAAACAGAAAAACAAAAGTCAGAAGAAAGTTCACAACAAAAAAACTCTAATAATTTTGATAAAGAAAATAAGTTTGAAAATGAAGTTATAAAAGAAAATAATCATAATCAGGCAAATAATTGTAGGGCAAAATGGAAGGATAAACCAAAATTAGAAATGTTAGAAAACCTTCCCTTAGAAGAAACAGCATCAAAGATGGAGTCTACATCATCTGATGATTCTGTCATTCTTTATAAAAGACCATTGTCAGCTCCTGGACGCATAAAAGATAGAAAGATTTGGAAAAAATCATTAGATACTATAAATTCATCTCAGAGTTTTTCAAACAGCCAACTAATTGATGAAATGCCTGAAGTTGATCAGGAAGAAAAGAATATAGAAAGAAAAGAAAGTTTAGCTGATAATGAATATTTAGACAAAGAAAAAATTCCAGATATTATATCTATTAATCAAACAAGTAATTCAGATAAGTCAATTATTGACAATTTAACATTCAATAAATTCCCTCCTATTAATTCAGTTATTGGCAATGATTGTGATAATGTTCCAATTACAGAAGTTACAAATTCTAATTGTAAGCAAAATATTCAGAAGCAGTCATCATCTGAAGAAGTTATATATCCCCTGATGTTACCTCATCTTGAAAATTCTGGACCATTTGTAAAAGACAGCACTATAGAAAATAATAGAATAAATGAGATTAAAAATATTGTAGAAGTTCCAAATTATCCAAAGATACAAGCAAAAGATGTACAAAATGTAAATAGTTATACTTCTCCAGTCCTTATAGAAGTAGAATATTCATATGAAAGCAATGAAAGTGACACTGTTCAAACAGCCTCTGAAATAAATACCAGTTGTTTTAATTCATCAAATGAGTGTGATATAAAAACTAATGAAAATTTTAAAGAGATTAATATAAATGATGATATTAACTGTAGTGTAAGTGATAATGATGAACAAACTATTGAAGACAATTTTAAATCTGAATATATTGTCAGTAGTTGGGTATCAGAAATTTGCAGCAAAACAGGTGGTGACGATAGTCTTGACATAACTAAGAGTGCAGAAATTAAATCTGAAGAAATTGAAGAATATACTCCAAAAGAATGCAATGTTAAAGTTGATTTGGACAAATCAACAAAAATATATGACATTTACTTTATTGATGAATCAAATGCTGATAAAACCTTGAAAACTCAATATTATAGAGGTAATAATGATACTATGTGGTTACGTACATGCTCGCTTCCTGATTTAAGATGTTTTGATGTAAACAAAAATGATGCTGAAGATGTTTGCTTGAAAGATATAAACGTATCAATTTTAAATAAAGATAGAATTAATAAAAATTCAGAATATGTAAGTTGTTTTTATATAATCATAAATATTTATTGTGTAAATAAAGATTTATTATTTTATTTACATGAAAATTTGTATTCTTAAGGAAGTTTTCTCAAATAATAATGAAAATCAGGTATATGTAAGTGAAGAAGATAGTGATGATGAAGATCTTCGTAGTGTCCGTGCATCTATGGAAATTATTTTACGACAAGCTACCCAAGATATGAGTAGTGATAAACAAGACACATTATCTATTTGTAGTTCTGTTCCTTGGCATTCACGTAAATAGATTTTCTATTCATTAACGTCTTGTAATTTCAAAACTAAAATCTTTATTTTTATAATTACAGCTGACAGTTCAAAGATTGGAAATGATGACTGTGGAATTTTTGGTCATTTAGAAGAACTTCGATTAGAACTTGAAAATGAATTAGGTTTAGCAACTTTTGTGCAAGGTATGTATCAATAAAAATTAAAATCTTTCAACTTATTTACTTTCTTTAGACAGTCTATTTTTTTCATTTAGCATATCGAGAAATGCAAGCTTGTCATGAAGATGAAGAAGCTAGCATATCAGAAGGAATTGAACAGGTTCATATGATTCTTGGATCAGGAAAAGAATACTTAACTGCTAGAATTTTACAGTTAGTAATGGCTGAAGGAATTTATACCGAAGGGAATGATTTTTGCACTGCATAGATAACGTTTGAAAAGCACATTTTATAAATTTCATTTTACATTGTGTTCAAATTAGTGCCATTTATTTAAAACATTCATATGTACATAAATGTTTCATCATTTGATAATTTAATTTCTGAAGTGAAGTGCACTGAATTTAAAATACATGTCTGTTATTTAACGTTAAGGGACCAAATGTGTAAATTTGTAATATAATTTTGATTGTTATAAAATATTTTTGTCTCTATAAGAATGAAATTGTCTTATTCTACTTCTCAGAAAAATTTGTCTTCAGGCACAAAAAAAAAACATGTTTTATGAAAGAAAATCGTTAAATTCTTGTTATCTAAGTGTAACAAATTATCAAAAATGTTTAACATTTCAAAAAAGGCCTAGACCTATAAACTTATCTAATCGTAACAAATTATCAAATGTTCAATGCTTTTCAGACTAGTCCTAGGCCTTTAATTAACATGTCATCGAAGAAATTTATTTAAATACAAAATTATTTTCTTATCGAAATCTCAGAAATTAAAGCAAACATTTTAGGGTAATATCTTATCGTTTGGCCTTATTTAAAATGACTAATCTAAATTTAAATTCTGAAAATCTTTTAGGTAGGCCTGTTTGAAGTTATATTCTTCAAAAAATGATTTACAAAATAAAAATAAATATGTAATCTTAATTTAATTCAATTTACAATTTTTGCTTTCATAATAATTATATAAACGGAATAAATCATAAANAATATTAAACTTTTGAATATCTATAATAAAACTCAATATATTGTGATAAATGCTTCCAAAACAACACGTGAAAACTTATTTTGCAGTGGTGATCATCAAACAAAAAGTTTGGTGTAGGGTTACTTGACTAGTTGTGTCAATGATGTGTCAGTGAATATTGGCTCATTATTCTTTAAGTGCTGAATAACTAAGATGCTTTACACGAGAAAAAAAATTTCATAGTGGAAAATTTTATTATAAAGTTGCCGAAAATTGAATCGATGGTTTAAATGTGAATACTCTGGATTGCCTGTTCCTACAAAGGTTTATATTTATAAGCTTTTTAATAAGTAGAGTCCATTTGTATAATGAGTAAACAATCAGTTACCTTAGGAAAGACCAAGTCAGTTATTCAAAATCTTTAAGGCATTTATTCTAAGAGACCAGATGATCATGGGTTCTGTTTGTAGAGATGATAATCAAATTTTGGACTTTAAAATAAGGATTGGCCTAAACTATTCCTTCAAGTCCATAGTAAATATTTATATTTAAGTTTTGTTTCTTGCTATTCTTATTGTTGTAACAAGAACGGCTGACACACACCATTACCAATTCTAACTCCAAACTTTTCATTTGATCATATTGTGGATTATCTATTTTAAAAATTTAAATTAATTTTTCATTTAAAGCTATAATTTCTCGATATATTTAGTTTTCCAATTCCAAGAAATGACTTTCTTGGAATTGGTCAAAATAATAGTCCAGACTTGGTGGGCCATAATGGGATCCTCCACTTAGAAAAAATTATGTTCATTTTGCATTATGCTCGTATTACTTTAAAACTATTGCTTTTGGGCTGTAATTTGAAAAAATTTAGACAAATTCCCACTGTTGTCTATTGACTGTCTGATCTTCCTTAATATTGAGAACGGAATTAGATAGGTGAAATCGATACTAGATATAGAAATCTTAGGTGCAGTGAGCCCCGATTAACTGTATACGAACTTCCGATACTGACCGGAAATCACATTATTTCAATTCAAAAATTTTCTTCTGAAAGGAGTTAGGTAGATGACCAGCATGACACTATTGCTAACAGGAAAAGTATGATGTCAGGGGCAAGACTACTAATTTCAGGTGGAGATCATATATTTTAAATAATTTATTTATTATTATTATTATTATAAAATAAATGTTTAAAAATATAAAAATATGATTATTTTTTTCCACTTCTTACATTCTGAACTTGACTAAATGATTTTGGAGACTAAAAGAAGTACTTAATGTTTTATAATTATACACAATCTATTACGCAATAGATGATTAAAAATGTGCTAAATTTTAAAAAAATCAGTCAAGGCCACCTACAGACTTTTTGAAATACTCAAAAGTACCCTTATTTATTGCAAAAAAATATGAACAAATACAGTATTTTACTGCATTATAATACAGTTGTCCCTTGATAATCCGACAGGTATGGGGCCAAAGGTGTGTCAGATTACCAAAAGTGTCCGGATTACCGAAAATAATTACATATTTCGCATTGTTTTGCCAGCAGTAACTTACAATATTCTCTACTCCAACTGTTCGAACAGAACTGCTCACATAAAACACACGAAATGTGTGTCATCGAGTAAGAATTGGATGGGGAGATTCACATCGCGACATGCTTCTGTGCAAGCAGACACGTAACGGGGACGGTACCTTGACGGGAGGTGCGTCGGACTACTGAGCATGTCGGATTAAAAAACGTCGGACTATAGAGGGACAACTGTAATGTTTTTAATAATTATATTTCAAAGCTTATCTTTATAAAGCCTACAAGACTACGTCTAAGTACTGTTTTACGCGTATCGGATAATTTAAAGATTAAAAATTGCAGCCCGGCATTGTGACGATGTCACAATAAATAATCGCTCGTTATTAATTTTAAAAATACTTTTTATTTATTCTTTTTTTAAATTATATTTTATCTGCAAAATGAAGCCGCAAATCTGAGAAACTTGTAATTTTTAATTAATTTTTCTATACTGTATGTAAAAATTATTTTTGTAACTTTACAACTTCATTCTATAAATACTAAAGTTTGCAGTAAAGAAAAGTATAGTTAAAATTATTTATATTGTCGGTTTTAAAAAGATTTTCACATATAATTTAGCGATCAAATTTTTGAGAATGCGGAATAAATACATTTCCAGATAAAAATCTGGAAATCCGTCATTTTTGAATATAATTTTTAAGTTTTTCTGAAACAAATAGTTGTCAGAAAATGTAATATTTATTTTAAAAATTTATCATTCGAACGTTTTTTTCGTGAATATTCTCCATTAATTTTGTTTTCGTTTTTGTCTTTCAGTTATTTTTCTGTTTTCATGCTTTTTCTTATAGTATTTTTAGCAAATATTTGTTAAGAAAGTGGAGAGGAAAAAGTGTGAAAATAGAAAAACATAATACACTGCTGGCCAAGTAAACTGCAACACCTGCAATATCTAGAGGCCTACGTGGTGTTGCATTTTACTTGGCCAGAAGTATACTATAAAAAAGCGAGAAAATATATGAAAATAGGAGAAAATAACTGGGAAAAAAATCAAGCAAAACGAAGATAAATAAAATTCGTTAGGATTACAAAAAAGTGTGATTTATCAAAACCGCACAAGTATGCCAACTATAAAACATATTAACCTGTATGTCAGATGATTTTTTAAGACGTTATTAATGTAAAATCTATAATTTAAATCTGAAGGATTGCGTTACAGTTGTTGGAAGATTCTGGAGCATAAAACTGTTCTTAATTTTTAAAGACGAGTCACTTTGAAAAAACAAAATAAATATTAGTAAAAACACTCAATAGATAGAAGTTTTGTATTTATTCATACACTCAAAATTTCTGTATTTGTTTATTTATACAATGAAATAACTATGCATTATACACCAAATTCTAAGTTATTTTATTGAAATTTTGATATTGGTATAATTAAAAGTATAGATTATATCAAAAATAATTTTTCTCGATATACGCTTTACAATAATAATACATTTTTTCGTATTTTATTTTTCTGACTGCGTTTAACATAAATTTGTATAACGATACCGGATATTTCGCATTGCTAATACCAGTTCCGAACAAAATATTTGGCTTCCAGAAATCCGGTTCCAAGCTTAATGGACATTTTGTTCAGTACTTCGCGGATATTAATATGCCTGAAATTTATTGAAAATTTCACGGAGGACGAGTATGATGATCTAATATTTTTTGGAAATGTTCATTCGCCTTAATTACACCTTTTTAAAAATATATTTCAATGCATTTGACTTATGGTCTCGACGCAGTTGGCATGCAACCTGATAAGTTCACTCACAATCTGCTGTCGATAATGTTTTTCTTTTTTTTGAATAAATTATGCATCTTTCCACACGCTGTTCTAGCTCAGCATAATCTACATCACATTAGTTGATGCAGAGAACACTAAGATAGTAAATAATGTGTAGAGTTATGTGGCCGAATATACAAGCACCCAGTATACTAAATTTTTAGGGCTTAGAGTATTTAATTTCAAAGGTATTTTTTATAACGATTATGTTGTATAAATTTTTAAAACACGTAAAAAATAAATTATATATTTTTTATACTTTATAAATTAATAATTAGTTTTTAAATTTGATTTTTGTTGCATTATTCTTACGTTTTCTAATTACATTTTTTAAATTTTCACCTATTTAAAATTTTACAATTTTTTAAAAAGATTTTTATATCAAAAATAACTGTTATGCTTAATTTACCGGCAATAATATAATGGATTTTGTGTCAATTTCGAAAATTACTTACTATATTTTTACTCTACGAATATGATAAGTAGATCTTATAAGTTATTATTCAGAAATAAACAAGTCTGTAAAGCTGGCTTTCCTTCATGGCAATGAAGAAAGAAAAAAGCTAGCTATACAGGCTGTTCCTATAAAATTTTAGTTTAAATTAAATTATTGATAAATTACGAGTAGTTATCGAAATATTAATAAATTACGAAACTTTTACATTGATATTTTTTTATCCTATCAAAATAAAATTACAATTAACGAATCTTATAAATTATCTTTTAATCTCCAAAATCATTCGAAAAATTCTCAAATTTATATTTATTTCATTATTTTCAAATATCGCAATATACACTTACTCCATTTATTGCTTATGCGAAATTTTAATTGTATCAGACTAAAATACATAAACAATGTTTTTTGCAGTCGGAATATAACCTTTTAACTGATAAACCAAGTTCTTAACGCATTACACTAATAGAAACAAATATAAAAGTTTACGTAAATAAATTATTCATACAATTTTGCTTATAGAATAATAAAATATTACAAAGGAAGATAAATTAGTTTTGATTCGGAAATTCATAAATGATAATTTTGAATAATAACATTATATGTAAGCGTACTGTATTATAACGTAAAAATAAAATTATTAATGAATGT